AAAGCCTCACGAGTGCTGGACTCCAGTCCAGGTGCCGTGGTGTGATCCACAAGGGCTTTGTCAGCCAGGTCCCGCAGTACGGCATGCTCGTGTGGATGAGCGCTGCACCCACCACTCTGGCTCGCCTCACTGCCATCCGACGCCGTGGCCTTCGCCTAATTGGTGATGGAGCCTAGCCTGGACATCCGCAGAATGGTCGAAATTGCCAGTGGATCATGCACTGAATCAGTGGAGCACACGTCACATGTACAGTACATGTACCTGCATGATACGTACAATGTATACCAACGCGAGTAAAACTATACGGGTGGGTAGGTGTAGTACAATGTCATAAACCCCATTAATCCCATTAGGGTTATGAACTCTTGATAGGACTGCAATGTACAGTAGGGCGATTACAGTCATATAATGCAGAGCACGTTACAGTCGCTTACACTTACACTTTACAGTTATCAGTTAAAGTGTACATGTACATGACTGTACATGTGTCAGATTCAGTTATCAGTCTTCTGCAGGACATTCAGCATTACACTGGCAAGGCAAAATCTTGAATGAGCAGGATGACCTTGGCCCTGGCCCCTATTTTCCTGCTGACCCATTCTCCCTGTGCATGCATGTCCGAATATAGAAAAAGAAGTGTTGCTGACGCCGCTAGCCCCCCAGACTGACACTGACACATGTCACTACATTTGACTGCGTCGTCGTTGACACGTGACAGATCTCGACATGTAAGGAGCACTCCGAGCAGGATTGCTATGTTACCTGCACTGCTACAGTGCAAGTCTTGCAAGTCTGTAGTGCTAGTGGACGGTCATGTACCAGTACTATGTACTTGTAGACCAAGATAATAATCGATGGGGGCAAAATGAAATCCGACCTACACGTACACGTCCATGATAATACACACTGGGGCTGCACAGCTGCACAAGCACGAGCTCTGGGCTGTTATGCGCAATGAACAGCATGCTGCCATGCATGTGTCGGATTGATTGGATTTCAGTCTTCACCACCTGTGCTCGGTACAGCACGCACAGCTTTTCAGACCAAGCGAAAACGCACATGGTGAAGCGCCTCTGGCCCTGGACAAATACCTTTCCATGTCTGTAGAACTACTTCATGTGTGGTCACTGCGCGGGGCGTCAGAAACAATTCAAATGACTTGTCCCTGGTCACAACAGTCCCCAAGCTAGACCAGTACAGGTCCAAGGCCCTGGCAAGGGACTTGACAGCTACATGTACATGTATGACAACACTGAGGAATGAGACTGTCAAATCAACGAATGCAGAATTTAGGGTACGTTGTTGTATGAGACATGGTTAGCATATTATCGTTCACGCTAAATCCAACGGTACTCGTACCCAACACCCAAAATACCGTCGGTTTGGTATCGTTTCGACGATAGAAAGCTCTGTTTAGCGGGAGAACGAAACGGTAAGATTCCAACTAGGGTTACGTCACAAGTCGAGCGTTGTGTCAGAAACCGATTTAATGCTAACCATTACATGTCTTGAACACACACAAAAAACGGTACACGCTGACGGACGGCGACGGTCGGAGTTAGCGTGAACTGTAAAATGCAACCATGTCTCTAGCTAGCGTCTCGGAGAAGAAGAACAGAAGAAAAGAGCAATGTGAAGCGCCAAAGGGGCCGCGATCTTGAGTGTACGCACTGTCGTATGCGAAAAAAGGGAAATGCGTAGGCGTAGGTGGAATGGGTCCAGAGGCAAACATCGTCGTCAAGCGGATTGCTGATGCTCTGGCCCCAAGCGTAAGGAGAGCTACAGCAAAGTCGTTTGCTGGATGCGTTGCTGCTTGGCTTTCTCTCTTGCTAGGTCTGCGATCCGGTGCGTTCGAGGATCACGCTCGGTTCGACGCCGGCACGTCAACCTTGTGCCTGTCAACATCGTCCAGGCTGAGGCTCGCCTTGCTAGGCATTAGATCTATAGACTGTCTTCACAGCCATTTTAGCTCCCTCCTTATTAGACTGCGTTCACAGCCATTTTAGCTTCCTCCGTACAAAACTGTTTTCACAGCCATTTTAGCTCATTTTCTCTCCGTTGACCTTGCATTTGTGTTTAGTTTGCCCGTACAAGAGGCTTGGAATGCGTAGGTCTACACTCATGATCAACACGTTTTTATAATATTATGATCAACACGTGGCTTTTAGCCATAGTTCGCATCATCTGATCATAGGGAGTATTGTACTACTCCCTGGTTCGCATGCGCTGATCCCAAACCGCGGGAATCTAAAACACCTCTGAAGCTACATGTAGGAGAGCTTTGGAGAGCCTCCTAAAATTCGGAGAAGATATAAGAACCAGGGAGTAGTACAATACCTGATAAGAACACCTCTCGAACTTTTCGGAGTCTCCAACTTTTCCGAGATGCTTTAAGAACGCCCCCTAAGTTATTTTGACAAATGTGGAGGGATTCAGGAGGCTTTCCCCACTTCACAACTGCAACCACCTTATCCATGCTGAGGTATAGGAAAGAGGCTTTACTGTATTTCCTTGACCAGTGCTAGTGCGGCCACAATATCATCATGATTATCAACTACCTACTACAGTAGTAATAGAATCACACCATCTACATCACAAACTCCCTCACATCACACGAGGATCTAGTTGCACTGAGGCAGCTCGCCCAGGATCGTCGAAAGTGGAAGGAACTAATGTGTGCTGTGTGTAATGGCTGAAGTTATACAATTACACTAGATACCCTTAACAATAATAACGGATACAATTACACTAGATACCCTTAACAATAATAACGGATACAATTACACTAGATACTCTAGATACTAGATACTCGGTACTCTAGATACTAGATACTCTAACAATTTTATCAAACATTATGATAATTACCACATCAAATGCTGCGGAGACCTATCCAGAATCGGCAATATGCTGGCCCTGGCCTGGAGATCTGCAACTATAATCAGTTTCTACTTTGCAACACTAACGGATTAGTCCCATTTGTCGATTGATGGATCAATCGGTAGATTCGGCTCTGTTTTTCTTTCCTTTCTTTCTTGTTTTGAATTGTACGTTGAACTCATTGGATTTCTTTGTATTCTGTATCTCGTTATCGTTATACATGTATTTCCCTCTAGCCCTCTCGCTTAGGATGAGCTTTCTTTTTTATGGCAGCTTAAGCGAAGGCTATATACCTGCTTTATGCAGGTTGATGCCAACGCGAACAAGCAAAATAATAATAATAAACATCACAATAAGTAATATCAACCAAGACTCAAGCAAGAGTTTTCATGTACATGTACCGGTACATGTACTCTTGTATCAACACTATCATTATGCCGTGGTTGGCTAACACCCTCTCTCTTTGTATTGGCCGGTGTTCTCACTGTGCTATGAGATGCTCATTGCTGTAATAAATCAAATCAAATCATTACGTATCCCATTCAATATCCATACTTATCCTGTTTTCTTTGTTCCTTCTTTCATGTTGTTTTCTGCCTCGACATCAGCATCTTCCATTTTTGATTTCTGTTTACCACCACTAGTGCACTCAGCATAAGCGAAATCATCAATCAATTATTAATGATTGACGATGACGCGAAAATGCAAATACCGATAACAAGTGCGGGTGCAGTTACCTGGTTACATGAGAAAACGAGAAGACCTGTGCGTACGATAAGGTCAAGGGTTTGGGGACCAGGCAGTGCATGCAGGCAGCAACGCAGCTGCATGACAGATCGAGGGAGCTGGCTGGATCATGGGACATGGAGGGCGTCGAAAAAGCCCGGCCTATTTTTCTCAAGACTAAACGGGGCGGGGAACATACACAGTACATGTACATGATACTGACCAGTTCTCACCAAGACTAGACAGAGCGCGCGAACTGTCGCTTTGCCTTGGGTACACAGCATAAAGTACTATGCCTGGGTGCATTGGGTGCATTGGGTGCATGAACCATGGCCAGTGCCGCGCCATTGCTGGGCATTGGCATATTGGGTAGATCTACACCAGGCTCTACAGTATGCCGTCTAGCTCGTCACTGTGTCTTTGTTCACCTGCCAGCCTACATGTAGCAGGCGCCGCCAGGCCGGTAGACTGCAAGTGTTCGTCATGGTCGAGTCACAGAAAGATCAGAGATGTAGATCGCCACAATCTGAGCTGAGTGGTCCTGATCGCCAGATTACCACTGATTGCTACAGCCACAGGTTTCACTTCACTTCGAAGACAGACTCAAGTCACATCATTGCATTGTTGTACCGCGGTACCGGTATGTGGACTACACGTAAACTGAGACATACAACTCCTAGTCCAATGAACTACATCATAGTACATGATTGTACTAGTCGTAGTGTGACACTTTTAACTGGAACAGGTGAGGAAAATTGAGTTGGCCATCGCAGACCTGCCCCACGATCATCTCTGGGCCACGTCCACATTATCATGACTGACATGAGATCCTTCCGACCATGAACAATTTGACGGTGCACGTACACACACCGCCACTACACTCTACACGTGTCTCGTTCACAATCGCCTGCAAAGGCTGCGTGCCGGCGATCGGATCTGTGCAGGTCTTGCGCTCCGGGAAGGATTTTTGGTGGCTGAGCCAACAGCTCTCGACGGTCGTGGCCGCACATGACAGCAGCGCGGAAATGTGCTCAGTCACCCTGATATGACAAGAGGGCTGGGTCGTTCAGCCAAGGAAAACGGAGCATGCAGTGCGCAACTCAATTATCCCTGGACTGGGCAGTTTTCGCGCGACCTGTCGGTTTGAGCCTGGCCGGGCCATGGGATATGCTGCGTACACAGCTGTACTAGCTGTTCTGTACGCGCGTGACAGTCTGCAGGCTGAAGTGAAGGTATTTCGGTACTAATAGTATGCGCCAAATTGCAAAGCCGAGGTGGCAAGGGGAAGAGACCGCGTGCACGTGACGGTGTGGTCAACGGCATTAGTAGTCATTAGCACAGACTTTGCTTTGGCATGAAGCTGACTGACATACTCCGAAAGGGTGCAAGTCAGCAAGTAACAACAGTTGCAATACGTCGTCTAGTCTCTCGGCGACAGGTTTCCGAAGCTTGCACATAGCATTCGCACTGCTCTGACTGCTCGCCTGCAGCTCCACGCTGAGCCTGAAAACAGATAGTCAAGGACACGATACTGCATTTGTGCTTTGAAGGTGATTGAGCAGCACCTTTTTGTCCACCGTTCGGTTCAAGTGAGTAGCTCAGTTCAGGCTCAGGTTTGGGTTGTCCAACACGCCACTGGCTGCCGAAGCTTCAGTAGTCAGTATCTCTCCCTCTCTATCTTTGGTGTGCTGAGCGGTGGTACAGCACGCCAATACAACGCGTAGGCATTACACAGAGCCAAGGAGCCCATCCAAGAGTGCAAGTCAAGATGGCGAACCTGCCAACCGTGGAGATCGAGATGATCGGAGACACAGTGTGTGCATGGTAAGGGCAAATATTAATTTTTGTAGTGGGGTTCATCTTCGAACTTCGGGTTCACACAATTGTAGAGTCCGACTGTGCAGTACTGTCAGTAGTCTGGCCCCAGAGGGTAGTATGACTCATGCCTCGTTTATCCGGGCGGTCTGGGACCGGGCACTGTACTGCCCCTATTAAACATCGAAATGACCATAACCAAGAGGAGGGCCATAGATATGGCATGTGACGTCACTATTTCCACCAAAAGTGACAAGAGAGTAGTAATATTTCCACTGAAACTCACCCGAAGGGTACTAGTACCCGGTAGACTGAAGTGCCCGTAACTCACTTTGGGGTCCGGATAACCGAGGTATGAGTGTACAGGTATAGTTTTTTTTTCTTCACTGAGCCTCTTGTACGGGCAAAATAACACATTTTGTGAAGAATCAACACATAAAACGAATCATCAGATATAGTTTTGTATGTCACGTGTTGATCAACATGTACTAGTACTAGTAGTACACGAGGAGGACATTGATTTTAAACCATCTCTATCATGCTGGGCGGTACCTGTACCATTGTACGGTCATGTACATGTACATGACTGTATACACTGAAAAGGAGCCGTTTGTGCATGTGTGTGTAGGGGTAAGCGGATTAAGCTCGGAAAATGACCAGATTATGTTCTAGCGATGCTCGCAGGATGCTCGAGAAAACAGCCAATTATGCTTTATATGCTTCACTAAAAAGACCAAAAGAACAGATCAGTTTCCTCTGAGACAAAAATGCGATAATACTCATAAAAAGGACATACTTCAGGCTCATTACAAACATCTTGAAAGTTTTTGTCTTCACAAGTATACTTTCAAGCCTTCTCGTCAGGTGAACAGATAATCGTCATGAAAAAAGGACTCAGACCATTGTCATGGTGTGGACTGGGAGCTTTGTGGAAGTACAAGACAATACTATGCAAGAGGAATACCAAATTCGCAAGCAAACGCTGAACTTTTGGGAGATGTCCTGTAGTGGCTGCTAAAATATTATTCCAAATCGACAAGAAGCGCTATGTATGGTCCTTCAATAGCAGGTGTGTATATTACAGCCTCATTGGGCATCTGCCCTTGTTTTTCGGATGCCATTTTGTGCTCCTTCTCAAAAAGGACCTGATTATGCCAAAAATTATGCCGGCATAATCCGCTTACCCCTATCGGGAATGGACACGATTATTTTTATATTATCGTAAAGTGAGAATTGAAGTCAGCAGGAAAACCGCGAGCTCCCATGTAGGGAGTAACACACTCTTCCCCTACTATCGCCGAAGTCGCACCAACCTCTTCTTGAATTAAATTAAACTGTCTCGAAATATCTTATGCCTTGGGATAGTGCACTGATCCGTTCAAATGATGATGCATCGATGCAGCACCAAGCTTGCAAGCCAGTGCTACATCATGTGTCAGTAGTACCTAACTACTTGTATTCCCATTCGTACAATCATGTAGTGAAACCTGTCAAGGAGACCACTGTGATAGCGCGACCACCTCTCCCAGCGGACCACTGCCACCACATGTACATGTACATGAAAAATGTTTTCTTTGGTGCATGGGAATGTACATGTACAGGTACATGTAGGACCAGGGAGTCATCAAATACCTTTTTTGACGACTCCCTGTGTAGGACCAATGGAGCAATGGGTGTTGTTTCCAGTCAAATGAGTCAGCGAAATGACCCTGGATAAGAAGACCACCTACAGTGTATAAACAGGGACCACATAATTCGTAATGCCCCTTGAGCAGCCAGCTATAAAGGTAGGGCTTCACAGGCTTGGATCATACAGAGCTATTGCATTGCTACGAAGAGTGGATCAGTAACCCAGCGACAATCATGATGTGAACTCAGACAAACAGGCCAGCCCTGCTTTTCAGGCCAGCCATCCTCCATGCGACTCACATGTGAGGCTCCTGCATAGCTTCTTGCACCAAGGAGGGAAGGAATGCTAGGTATTGTTCACTCGCTCGCCCTTCACTTCACCTTTCAGGCGTACTAATTGCATGGGGGCATTCTGACTTCACAGCGTTTCCTGTGAAATGCTTACGCAGCTATCCGTGATGAATCATTGTCCCAGAATGGCCAGATGTAATGTAGCTTATGATGAAGTTATGTCAATATTGTGTCTTACACCACGATGTACACTTTATTAATTGCGCTGATTATGGGCCATGGTCGTAGACTGTCCCTGCCTTTCCATATCAGGCAGGCACCTCAGAGCGTCAAGCGATTGTCCTCAGGCGAGGTATAGTAGCTGTTTCTGATTTGTACAAAGTCATGTACATTGTACATGACTGTATCGATCTTAGGCCGTAGACTCGTAGTGCTGAAGTCTCATCTTTCATAGTGTATCGCCTATCCGTGTAAGTGTGGCCAGATAATAGACACTTGACGTGAACGTGTCGCCTCCTGCGCATGATTGTCGCTTCGTCTCTGCAGTTCGGACTGTTTACTCCCATCAGCGTAGAGCGGATAGGATGGATTCCCAGTTGCAGGGATTGTTTCCTCAAGTGGCGCTGCATTGTGTAGTGAAGCGCTTGAAGGAGATCATGCCACGATGCTCGTAGCATGTATGTCGGATGACTTGCAGTCGATATGCCTACTAGGAATACCACCACCAAGAGTAAAGTCACGATGAAATGGGCTGCACACTCTCACTCACTCACACTTGCATGGACACTAATGATACAATCATGTACTGTACACGGATGATGACTGCGACAATGCATGCTAGGATAATTATTTAAATTATGTCACGTGAGTGCTTGTTGTAGTTGGTCTGGTACGAAACTTTATTCACGCATTGGTCGGAGACATGTAATGGTGGTGGAAGATAATCAGCGAACAGCATGCACCAGAGCAAACTAGACAGTGTCATCACTAATCACGAAATTATGTAGCTGAGAGCCTGAGACTACATGATCCTGTCACCACTATTCTCACTATGGGCAGACCCACACAGTACACCCCGTACTACTACCATGCACAAGGCGACACGCAGTGGCTAGATAAGTAGATGCACTGCAAAGGACAAAGACGTGCAGCAGTTTGTTTCGTCACGTTTCCCTTCACCGACCCGTACCCGGCATGGAATACATGATTGTACCTGTACATGTAGATGTCCCGCAATGGCTGCACAGCGAATACAATCATGTACAAATACACGTACATGTACAGCAACCACCATCGATTATCATGTAATTGTTGACCTCACAATTTTGATCCTGATGATTCCTGGCTCTCCAAACATGAGCTGGGGCTCATCAGTAACTCCAATAGTCTCCATGCCAAATTAAAAGAATGCTACCATGCCAATACAAGAGTACAGTCACACATGTAAAAGGTAAAGGTTTATGACTACAACGTCATGTAGTCTTGATACTACCGGTGCCCTATTAGTACGTCAAGCGTTTACCACTCCCAGGGAACACCCTTGCAGTGAAAGTGTCATTGCAGCGTGTGTGTTTGTATTTGTATTTATGGATTCTCCACAGGCCTTAGCCTAAATCGAGGGAGTCTCCGTCAACAGCTTATGAAGAAGAAGAAGAAGCTGAGGAGAAAAATAAAAATAGGAAATAGAATGATGCGGGGTGGTAGTAATATAACACAGTGCTCTATGACATCGCTACTCTACGTGGAGCTGCTCTGGCTGAACAATCCTTTTCCAAGGCACTCTCATAGCATGACTCCCTTGAGTACACTTCTACACAGAGGCGTTCAACGAGCACAGCCGTCTTTTATTAACAGCATTAGCAGCGGTCCGCCGGACTAATTTACTTGCAGCATACAGTAATCATGGGTAGGAAGAGTGGCCGGCTTTGGCCTTTTTAATACTTTAGTTTAGGCTGCCGTGATAATCTGCTGAATATGTTGTGGACGTCCTCAAAGGTTACATGTTCACACATAAGATACAATTCATATAAATTCGATGTAGGTTCATGGCGTGGCAGACCAGCACTTAATTTAATAATAATAATACTTGTAATGTGCATGTGCCGCCATCTGGTAATCGCATAACGTCTGATTGACAGTTGAAAGTGTGAAGAGACCGGAGCACTGGCGCTACGTGGAAAAATGGCTACTGTACTACATGTACCGGCATTACTACTGCTGTACGTGTACGTGCGAGCTCATTCTACCACGACTACCAGTGTTGGTGATGTCCTAGTACATGTACTTTGACCTGAGAGTGAGAGTAATGACGTATTGTGCATGGCTGTAGCACTGAGCTCAGAGTAATGTATTGTGCATGGCTATAGGCTAGCACTGAGCTGAGAGTAATGTATTGTGCATGGCTGTAGCACTGAGCTGAGAGTAATGTATTGGGCATGGCTGTAGCACTGAGCTGAGAGTAATGTATTGTGCATGGCTGTAGCACTGAGCGGAAGCCTGAGTACTAGAAATATTCTGTAACCTGATTTATAATATTAATAATAATTATTATGAGAGGCGTAAACCATGTAAACGGCTCAAGAACTTGAAGACCACACAGTCAAGTCAATGAAGGAAATCGGAAAACCACAAATCGTCAGTGCAATAGCGACAACAAGACGTGGTGGACCCTGGCTACACCATGGCACCAGCCGCTGCTACATCCCACCGTCCTTTGCATATTTTCGGGAATTATACAAGTACAACATGATCAGTCATGTACGCTGACTGTACATTCCGGCAGTGCCTGTTCTTGTCGCGTCTTGCTTCTTCTTCTGCTGTCATCAGTCGTCATTGCTCCTCTTGTCTGTATGGTTATGTGTGACCTATCTCTCAATACAATCATCGCGCTTTTCTCGCCCACCTGACTTGACCAATAGATGCCATCCAGACCACACGAGAAGCCCATCGTTCTTCGACTCTGCAAACCTGCAAGAACCACAATTTATGACCTATCTCTCAATACAATCATCGCGCTTTTCTCGCCCACCTGACTTGACCAATAGATGCCATCCAGACCATACGAGAAGCCCATCGTTCTTCGACTCTGC